ATATATATATACCTAATAATAGAGCCCCAACATACATGAAGCAGAAATGGACAGAACTAAAGAGAGAAACAGACAATTCAATAATAATAGTTAGAGATATAAATATCCTGCTTTCAGTAATGCATAGAACCACGAGGCATAAGATCAGACAGTAAATAAAAGAATTGAGCAACTCTATAAACCATCTAGATTTAACAGACATCCTTAGAATATTCTATACAACAAAAGCAGAATACATATTCTTCTCAAGTGCACATGGCAAGTTTTTCCACATGATAAAACCATGTGTTTAACCATAAAACAGCCACATTAAATTCATAAGGATGGAAATCATACAAAGTATTTTCTCTGAATACAGTGGAATAAAGATAGAAACCAATAATAGAAATCTGGAAAATTCACAAATAGGTGGAAATTAATAAGCTTCTAAATAACCAATGGATCAAAGAAGTAAGAAGGAAAATTAGAAAATACTGTGAGATGAATGAAAATACCAAAACTTAAGGAATACATCTAATTATTGCTTAGAAGAAAATTTGTATCTGTAAATGCACATGGGAAAAGAGGAAATATTTCATATCAGTAATCTCACCTTCCAACTTAGGACACTGAAGAAAGAACAGCTAAACCTAGATAAAGCATAAGGAAGGAAATAAAGTTTGGAGCATAAATTAATGAAGTAGAAAACAGAAATATCAACAAAATCAAAAGTTGGTTTCTCAAAAAGATCAACAAAATTGACAGATCTTTAGACTGATAAAGAAAAAAAATACTTAAATTTCTAAAACCAGAAATAAAGGAGGAAATACTATATTGTTACAATAATAAAAGGATTGTAAACATTGAAATGCTAAATGAAAGAGGCCAGTTACCAAAGACCATATATTGTATAATTCCATTTAAATTTTGAGACTTATTTTAATTTAAAGGCATTAGTCTACTATTTTGGGGTGGCTTTGCTTTAGAAAATTTGCTTTTAGCAACTCCATTTTTGTGAATTTTATTTTAATTGATTCTGATGAGCAGTGATTGTGCTGTAATTTATTACTTAAGTTTTGTAGTTTCCACTTCCAAGGGGAATATTATTTACTTGATCAATATATTTTAAAGAAAATGGAAGAGTAACTTAGAGCCTCAAGATGGTGATAAAAAGTTGTGGGTACATATGTGCCATATTAGGTTTAATATGATCATTCCTGTACACCCAGTAGTGAGGTAAATGCTGAGGATATCAAGATATGAGGGTGGATAAGAAAGAGTAGACCCTTGTCTCCAGGAAATTGTTGTCATAGAAACAAGTACTTTGAATACAACATGTTAAGTAGTGTGTATCCTAGCACAACCGTTTCCTCAATCATGATCTTGGAAATAACAGCTTCTGGAAGCCTCCAGTTCCTCATCTACCCATCCGCAGGAAGCTCTTGGCCCTGGGCCTGGCACATTAAGTGCTCAATAAATAGTTGTTTGTGTTGCTATTGGGTAGGGTCACACAGAACCAGTTTGGTGCAAAGCTGGAAGATCCTCTATCGTCCTGAGATTTTACATTGAGGGAGTCTACCATCAGGCTCTGGTCACTGTGTGTGTGCACATGTGCGGAAGCTGCTTCTAAGACAAAAATAAAGAAGAGGATCGGAAAGAGAGGAGACCTGGACAAGGAGATGAATTAAGGGATGGTTTGTGGCAGGACACAAGCTTCCCTGCAGCCTGATATTTTTCAGGAGCATCTGTTTTGCCTTAAGCATAGGGTCTCTTTAGGGAATGTTTTTAAAGGAAGTTGATCGTTTCCTGAAGTTTCTCCCAACTCTGCCATGTGGTTCAGCAGAGACCAGTGGTGTGCAGTTTGTGCACAGGCAGCTCTGCCTCCTGGGAACACCAGTTCACTGAGAATGAGCATGGACTGTTGAATGTCTGTCAGGAGGAAACCAATTTCCATCATTTCAAATCTAGAACAGATTTGAACTAATGCCCTGGATTTAGAAAGCCATCCTTTCTCTGGCTGAATCAAGAATGGGTGGTTTTAAGCATGTTGCTTGGATGAATGTTATGTTGCAGTATACCCTTCTCTAGAGCATTAGACTCTTTATGAAATCTGTTAGCTGCTTGGGTACAGTATGGTTTTGATTAAATTATAAATGTTGTCCCTGCAAACCCATATAGTGTGGGTTTTTGAGACCTACAAGGATATGCTTTTATATAGTGTCCACTCCATAAATTCAGGACTTTGTGCCTTGCAAACTAATCTCTTTTAATTGAGTAATTTTTAAATGCTTAAATAGCATGGTGTAATGGTAAGAGTATGGGCTTTGAAGTCAGAGGACAGCTTCCAGTTCTCTGCTTTCCAGGTACTTGACTTTAAGTCAACTAAAATTTCTCTGAACTTTTTCTTCATCAGATGGGCATAATAGCAATTCTACTCAGGATGGGGATATTAGGAGATTCAAAATGCATAATGGATGTTGAATACTTAGCTCAATTCTTCATCAGATGGGCATAATAGCAATTCTACTCAGGATGGGGATATTAGGAGATTCAAAATGCATAATGGATGTTGAATACTTAGCTCAGTGTCTGGGAACTAGTGGATGCTCTGAACACCAGGTCTCCATCCTCTACTTTCTTAATGGCCCTGAGGAGCAAAAATAATAATCGTATTTGTACAGCTTGAATCAGCAATGCATCCATTAAGTGTCTTCAGGGGGAGCAAAACTCAGTAGTTTTCTTGTCATATGACAAGTACTGGGAAGCAAGTCTAACACAGAACTGAGAATATCATCTTTTTCACTTTGCAGGGTTTTCCAGTGATCAGTGAATGGTATTCTGATTGGAAAAGTACAAGATAAAAAAACAACTGCAAGGAAATCAATAACTAGTGATGCCAAACAGATGAGGCTTGATTCACATCTCTGGTAGGTAAACTGGGGGACAGGAGACAACCTCAGCATGAGGATAAATCTCCTGAGAAACTTTGAGAATTAGTGAAGTTTGAGATTTGCAGACAGATAGGTAGAAATGCCAAAGGGCCAGTGGCTGCCCCAGTTCCTGGGACTCAGAGTACCCAGGAGGATAACCAGCCCAGACTCCACTGCAAGACCTGGGTGTGGGCTTCCTGTGTTCATCTCTTATTCTTGGCAGGGCTGCACCTGCAGTGATTTGCCAGACATACCTCCCTAAATACTGAGCCTAGCCCCAAATTGTCTCCCTCCCTCACCTGCTGAAATGCTCATCATTGTCTTGGGTGTCTACCTTTCCTTTCTGTGAAGGTGTTTTCTAGACCAGCCACCCCTTTCTTTCTCCCTCAGTGAAATAAAGAACATTTCTGAGAGCAGAGTTTTCCAGTTATCATCTCCTTTCCTGTGTCAGATTGCTGTTTTCCACGGAGACAGTTGAGGATGAGGTTGAGGACATGGGACTCATGAATTTTGAGAGAGGAGGATGTGAAGCCTGACACACTTATTGTGGGAAGTCTTTCAGTAAGTATAGCCTTAGCACCTGTATCACAATCCCACCTGGACCACTTACCAAAAACTCAGATTTCTGTGCTCCAGTAAACCAGTTTCCCAGAGGCAAGACCTGGGAATCTGCATGTTAAGTTTAACCAACACTTGGGGTGATTTGATGAGAGTTTTGTTTGAGAGTCCCTGCCGTTGTGGAGAGATCCTGGACGTGAGCCATGTGTAGTTTTTTTCTGTTTTGTTTTGTTTTTATTGAAGTGTCATTGATATGCAGTTGGTTTCAAGTATATAACACAGTGGTTCAACAGTTACCCATATTAAATCCTCGCCTCCACCTGTGCAGTTACCATCTTTCAACACAGAAAGATGTTATGGATTCATTGGCTACGTTCTCCATGCTGTAAAACCATCTCCATGACCAACTTACCATTGAAGATTTTTGTGCCCCTTTATCCCTCTCATCCTTCCCATGCAGCCACCCTAACCCCTCCCTCATGGTAACCACCAGTCACCTCTCGGTGTCTGAGCTATGTGTGGTATTAAGCAGCCAAATATATGATAGATTTGCTCACATGATTGTCCCTGAAGAGAAATCCCACCATTTTGCTATAACCCATCCCGATGCCACTTTGCTGCGTGAGGGATGCCTGCACCAAAGGCTGAGGTGCAGAGGAGGGAGGGCGCCCTTCTCATCCCGGGCACACCCACGCCTTGTTCTGCACTCACAAACTCACTTACTGCCTGGTGGAGATGCACTGTCCTTTGATCCCAGTTGTGTTCAGTAGAATTCCACTGTGACATACCTGAATTGTTTTGTTTAGAGATTCAACGGGGAGAGAAAAAGGCACGTAGCAGCTTCATACAAGATCATCAGTACACGGCAAAAAGATTTCTAGTGAGTGAGCATTAACACAATCTGCTGTAACTCAGAAACTCACTGAATCCCTTTCCAATTTTGTAGGACTGCTTTGTGTATTCCGTAAGTTCTGTGGTGACCTTTTGTTTTGTTCTGTTTTGGCAGAGCTGGAGGAAAACTATAATGGGCGTTATTTTCCATACTTTTACCATAAATTTTTATTTATCCACCAGGAAAGAAAAAGACCAGTAAATTGAATGTTCTGCTCTTAAGAAAGACACATGCCGGGAGGAAGGAAACTCACAAGGTTCTTAATGACGTCATTGACAAAAGAAGGTCCTGGTAACCTTCAGTGCCGCCGGTCAGACTTGACTGGTTGGTAGCTGAAGGAAATTAATTGATTCCTGTTTTTGTGTGGGAGTGGAAAGGGCATTAGGCATAATGAATAATGGCTTTCACCTTGAGCCTGTCCTCCAAACTTGCAAACAAAAATAAATGTCTTGAAGTCTTTTCTGAGAGAACTAGTTTAAGTGAAGGGGAATCTCTGGTGGTCTTCAATTCTGGTTGGAAAGGAAGGATTTTTATATTTTAAAAACTTTTTTTTAGAAAAGTAATATATGAATGCTGAGGTTTGAATTGTATAACTTTATACAAAGAGTTTACATGATGACTTTATACATAGTGAAGTTTCTTACACTTTTTACTTCTACTTTTCATGTTAGTCACACCAATATTGTGTCAGAGGCTCTGCATTTGATTTCATAATGGTTGTAAATGTACTGAGCATTTACTTTATGCCAAGCAGTATACTAATGATGTAGGCACTCTAATTTTTATTTTATAGATAAAGAAACTTTGAGATGCACAAAGTTAATAACAACAAAAAAAAGGTAGCAGAAGATTTGTGATTTGCACCTAGATCATCTGATGCCAAAGTCCATGGAGTTAACACAACCCGAAGTTTGTGTTATTCTACAGTAATTTGCTATGTGCACATACACAGAGATAGGCACATGCATATATGTGCATACACACAAGCATACACAGAAGGATGATTATTCTTTGGGACAAAATATTCATTTATTTCATTTTATGGAGACCAGGTTCACAAGAGAGGATATTAGAGGAAAGAAACAAAAGTCCCAAAAAGATGCTGGCACTTGGAGACGGGTCAGGGCTGTAAGTCTCTTGATATCTGTTTCAAATCATTTTGCCTTTGCATTTTAGTTTCATTCTTTCATCAACTCTCTATATTCTTACGGCAAATGTTTATGTCCTTTACTCGGGTTTTCCTCCCTGTAAAATATGCAGTTGGATCAAATGACCATTAAATTCCTTCAGTTTTTAGCATTCTGTGAGTACACACAGTTCTGCCTTCAAGAAGATTGTAGTCTGTAAGCAGGAATAAACAGGCATAAAAATATAAGCAATGCCTGGTGCAAATGCAAGCTCAAGTGAATAACTGCAGTGTCTCCTTAGGTGAGGAATCATTTGCTAAGTGAATGGCAAAGACTGTAAGGAAGACAGAGAGATGACATAACCCTGGTCAGCAGAAAAGATATCCCCAAAGGAATAAAACTTAAGCTGGGCTTTTTAAAAGTTCAGGTAATTGGACTTAATAAAAATGTATAAGATGAGCACATGTTCTTTGCAATGAGTCAAATACTACAGGAATATTGAAATGGAAGGATAGCTAGGAAAGGCAAGGAAAAAGATGGCAGCCCTTGCCCTAATATAGTTGGGTTTTTCATTTGGCTGTGTTCCCATTAACACTGTACACACATTGTAACTAACTTTACTTTGTGACCTTGCCATTCACTCCGGGCACTTGCGTGTGCTGTAGAGTTCCTTGGTGACACTTCTATATCACTGTATCTGACACAGCACCAGCAATGACAGTGCACTTAATAAATAATTGGTTAAAGGGATGTTGGCATATTTTAGAGATATTCATTCATTCATTTAAACAACAACAACTCTATTGAACACTTTGTGGGCCAGGCACTACATGCAGAGACTAAAGTGACATTGATCCTGCTCTCACATAGCTCCATCATCCCATAGAGATGTGTTCATAAATAGTTGAAATGCAAAGTAAGATGGGAAGAATGCCTCAAGAGAAATTTTATAATTGAGGCTCTTCTAATCTGGATGTATGGGAAGAAAGAATGCAAGTAAATTTGCAACTCAGTAAAGCTTAAAGAGAAGACATGGAGTGGGCAAATATAGCTCCAAATAATAGGAGATTTTTTTTTCCAGTTTCCTTAGGTCTTTAATGTTAACCATTAAACTTCCTCTGCTCTTCCAACATCTCATAAGATCAAGAGACTAAGATCACTTCCTGACATTTAGGTAGAGTATATCTAATTCTAGAAGAATCCAGGATGTGTATGAAAACAATATAATATAGTATTGGTTTCCACTACAGACTGAACAAGAACTCAGATGGAAATGGCCTGAGATTGAGGGGAAAAGGAAAGAGGCAGATGAAATAAAAAATCAGCTGGTCTTTTCAATTTATCACCTCACAGAGAATTAAGCATGGGAGGTCTAGTGAGTTCCATTTTTAAATTAATTAATTTGTTTGACAAACAAATGGATGGTTCACAATGTCCAAGGTAATATGTGAAGCTCTGAGAGACCCCAGACATTCATCCTTCGTATAAATCCCAAACAAAATATGCAAAGTATATTGGTTTGTTAGGGCTGCCGTAACCAAGAACCATAGACTAGGTGACTTAAACAACGGAAAATTATTTTCTCACAGTCCAGGCTCAAGGTGTCCAAGATCAAGGTGTCAGCAGGGTTGTTGCTTCTGAGGCCTCTTTCCTTGGCTGGCTAATGGCCACCTTCTTCTTCTTTCTTCATGTGGTCTTTGTTCTATATGTTAACCTGAGTCCTACCTTCCTCTTCCTATAAGGACACCAGTCATATTGGACTAGCGCCCACCCATATGGCCTCATCTTACCTTGATTACCTCTTTCAAGGCACTGTCTCCAAGTACAGTCACATTCTGAGGTACTAGGAGTTAGGACTGCCACATACAAATTTTGAGGGGACACAATTCATTCCATAACAGAAAGCTTCAAACTTTCAGCCTCAATTCGGGAAGGGGAAAAGCTTGGGGGTGTTTATTTTATTAAAGCATACCTTTAATAGGTAAACAAGTAGATGCTCTTCTAACAAAATGAAAACAAGCTTGAAAAATCTAAAGCATCAAAGTTTTCCATTCACTCAGGATTTTATTGTTTGATAAAGATGGTGATTTTTCTATTTTTTTTTTTTTGCACTAAGCTATGTTAACCAGCCCTGACTGTTTTGTTTGTAGGTCCTTAGTTACAGCCTAGAGTTGACATAGAATGGCTTGCTCTGGATATGTGTACACATTGTACAAGCCCTAAAAGAGGAGAAAAACAGAGATTTACTATAAAGGAGGATTTCAAGGGTGTTAAAAGAGGGGATAGATGATGCTGGACAGTTTTTTTCCAGTGGACACAGATAAATTATTTGGACTTGGATAAGAGGAAACATTTTGACTTGGGATCAAGGGGAACAACATAACATTAAGAATGTTGGTTACGCTTATCAACAGGAACCTCTATGCTTGTTAAAGGCACTCTGTTCCCAGAGAGGACATTTTCATTTCTAACCTTAGACATGACCTTTAAGAGACTGTGTGAAATGATGAAAGGTAATGCAAAATCCCATCTCTAAGCCAATTTTATTATTATGAGAAGGTGTAACAAAAGAAAATCCTTCATTTTGTCTATGAACACTAGATTGTGGTTGTTTTGAATTGTATAACCTATAGATTTTAAATATAATAATGCTGTTACCTTGATTTTTTCCATCAAGAAAATAATTTTGCCTAAAGCATTGATAGAATATTTGAACTCTGTGAGATACTATGAGGCATCTTGTTCAACTCCCACATCTAGCAGGTGAAGAACCTGAGGTTAAGAGATGTGTATTTTTTCTTAAGGTCATCCTGTGAATTAGTGGAAGAACCAGGATTCAATCTAATTAAAACCAAGGTTTTCCAGCTTCTTATTGGGCTTGTTCCAGCCTTAGAGACATATAGCATTTGTGCTGAGTCCGTTGAGTCAAATCCTTTTGTTATAATTAATTATAATTAAGGGCTCTGTAGCCCAGAAAGATGAGAGAATCTGCTGAGATCACAGGGAATTGCAGGCAAAGTCAGAAAGTGGAACCTACATCTTTACTCTTTAAGTACCTGAGAGCCCTCCTCCACCGTATCCCCTTTGCATCTTTGGTGTATACTGTGCACAGAGCTGGTGAAAGGGGCCCTGGCTCTGTTCTCACAGGAGCAGTGAGCAAGGGGATTGGGGCTCCTCTTGTAATCTTTATCTTCCTTTCATACAGAACTTATTGGACAAGGCTTAGAGATTCCAACAAGAAACTAGCCAAAGTTCCAGTGCAATGGATAAATGCAGTGTTCCATCTTGCAAAGTTCCAGTGCCAAGAAGTGCAGTCAATCATTTAAAGAATGCATTTATCAGTTGGTCAGACTACTGGGTACCTGCTGATATGCAAAGATAAAAAACAAAACAAAAAACACAAAAATGATTCCTTTTGTGCTCTCCATGTAGGGTAACTAGATATAAACCTTTCAAAACATTCCAAAAAATATATTATACTATGCATAGAACTTCTCTACTCACATACCAGGTATTCCCTTTATTGTAGTCTCATGGACATGTGTCCTTTCCCTTTCTAAATCAAAACATTCTTGAAGAAGACTATCTTAGTCATTTCTATCTATAGTGCTTAGCATGCCCAATATCAGTTTAACTTAGTAAACTTATATTTAACAATAATATAAGATGTCATAAGGCTCCTACATTCATTAGAATTAGACCCAGCTGTGGCACATGGGAAATAAAGGCAATTGCTTAAAAAAGTAGAAACCTATTTCTACCCCACATTCAAGATGTCTGTAGGCTGTAGCCAGTGCTACCTGGTGCAAGTGATCTAGACACCTTCTTTCTTATTGCACTGCTGGCTATGGTTTCCATTCCAAAATGGGTGCTGGAATGATGGCAATTACATGTAAATTCTAGCCAGCAGGAAGGAGGGAAGTGATGAAGAATGATATGCCTCCTCCCTTTAAGGATACTTCCAAGAAATTGCATATTCCACTTCTATTTGTATCACATTAGCCAAAGTTAGTTCTGGCCATAGCTAGCTGCAAAGGAGGCTGGGAAATGTAGCCTTATTTCCAGAGGATCACAGGCCCACCTAAATATTAGATTCAATTCCTGGAGGAGAGGGAAGACCAGGGAGAAAACTGGCAGGATGTGACCCAACCCCAAGCTCCTGAGAGGAATATTCCACTGCAATGTTTCAGAAATTTTTTTTTTCTTCTTAATTAGATGAGGTTTAGCTGTCTCTAGTCTTATGATTAAAACTGTAGATTTAATAACAAACAGACCTAATTGTAGCCTGGCTCTGCTGATAACTGTGTGTGTGACTTTGGTTAAGGCACTTAACTCATAGGATTGTTGGAAGACTTAAGCCACAGTAATGTAATGGCATGTATGTAATATGCAATAAATGATGGTATTTACTGTCATTTTTTCTTAATAATTTCCCTTTTGAGAAAATGTATATCCAAAAACATGT